TCCCAGGCCGCTGTGGCTCACGCCCACGGTCCCCTCCCTGGCTCATGCAGAACGTGAACAAGACAGAAGTCGCACGCTCCTGGGCGCTCAATCCTGGGCGCTCATTTCGTACAAGCCCGGATCGCTTAGTCAGAGAAAAGAGCACCATCTGAGGGGACTCCCGACTTAGATGGAGAGTTTTATCTGAAAAGAAGAATCTGGTTTAAATAGCATTTGGTGCGAGGCAGCTGCTCTCCCCAGGAGGGCTGAGTGTAGGCCTGTGCTTAGGTAAGTTGGTGTTCCCTTTCAGTGTAATGCATGCAGTGGTCACAACCCAGTTACTTATAATCCTTGGATTGTGTTTATTCATAGCAGTGCCCTGAACACTAGAGAATTAGCGTCATGTACCATGTAGAACTTTGTGTCAATCGGCGATAAACAGGCCCAGTTAAAGGCTGTTCCAGGACCGATTATTAGTCCAACAGACACCAGTCTTTGCTGATGATGCGTGGACTGGATCTTAGCCACCTCAGAAGGGGTTTTACTTGAAGCCGATTGTTACTAGATATGCATATTTAAGTCCCTTTACCCCGCCCCGCCCCAGTGCCGCTGAAGGTGACTGTAATTTACAAAAGGATTTAGGAAAATAAACCTAAAAGCAAATTTGTGGTTCAGAGAGCAAATAGGGGTGGTCTGTTCTTTGTCTGTGCCCCACACCCATCAATACCTAAACCCGACAGGGAAGACAGAAAACTTGTTTTCTTCAAGCTCACTGAATAGTTTCAGACAGAGGAAAAATATATGCTTTAAAAGGTATTTATCTGATATTGGGGAGTACCCAGAATATCAGAAACAAGTACAAAAAAAGCTTGACTTAAGCAGCTTTTTCGCAATTTTTTTTTTGCCAGAATAATAAATGCCTTTAGCAGCAGAGATTAAAATCCTAGATTATCACCATTTTACAATGGAGAGTTTTAACAAGTACAGGCTATCAAGTTTGCACTCAATTATGCCAAAAAACCAGTCTGAAGCACTCTGCTCCCAGACACGCTGTATTACTTCTCATTTAAAAATTAAAAAATATAAAGGTATCCAAACTGCTGTCTTAATGTAAATGTAACTATTTTTCCCTCAAGTGTTGATTAGGGAGTCGGTTTTGCTCTTGAAAACACTCACTGTACAACTGAGAGCAGCTGTCCTATTTCTGGCAAAAACGTGTTTACTTATCCAACAAGCCGTGCATTTGTGTGTGGACTGATGTAAAATGTGAATGCCTCAACGTGTACACGTCGTGGTGTGGAGTTCTGTCTAGAGGATAAAACTGAATGTTTTTAAGTTGCTGATTTACAGACACAGGCTGTTTACAAAACGCTAGCTGGAAAGTCTGTGATTTCCGCGTAGTAACTTTTAGTTATTCGCTATCGAGCACCCGTTCTGTTTCTGAGGGGGTGAGATGTGGTGTTGTCCTTAGAAACTGGAGAGTTAGGCGTAATCCCTCCTGGCTTTGTGTGAATAGCTTGCTCACTTCGCTGGCCTCTGAGATGTGTGTTCTCCGTAGTGAACTGTCCATTGTCTGTGATAACAGTGCTTTGTCAACCATGACCATCACTGAGCACCTTCCTAGTCCTTCACCTTGCACAGTATTTCAAATGGTAAAGGATGTGCTTCGTTCGCAAACAGCACACGCTCAGAGAGCTGCCATTCTGGACTGTGGCTGTGCGTGTCTCCCCTTAGTTGATTTCTGTAATCCCTGTAGAACGATCTGTAATAACGTAGTCTGCTGGACTGTGCATATCAAAAGGATGTAAAATTACAGTATTCCAAAGGTTGAAGTTCTGCTCTTTTGTTATATGCCTGATATATACCTTGAATAAAGTCTTAACATTTTTCTTTTAAAAGACACCTTTGTAATGTTGGGCTGTTAAAATACTTAAAAAAAGAAATTGTATTCAGCAGCAAGGATTAGAACTTAAGCGCTCAGCCACTAACTGAAGGTGACTGTAATTTACAAAAGGATTTAGGTGCACTACCAGGTGCCTGGTGACCTGGCTCCAAGCCTGCTGCATAGAATTACTGCAAAGAGAAAAAATTCAAAGGTATCAGTGCTTTTTGAAAACCAGTTGATCACATGAATCTAAACCTGGTAGTATGTTTGTTTTACATTTTTAAAGGTCACCGGTGGGAACTAGGGAGCTGTGAAAACAGAGTAATTCATCGGGAAGGCGATTTTAATTCTGCAACAGACCAGTTCCTTCTTGGAACCTGTTTATTCATCTGCAACTGTGGGAGGACACGTGCAGGTCAGAAGAGGGTGCTGCGTGCGGAGGTGCTGGGGGGCATGGGTGCCCTTGTCTTTACAAGGTATAAAGAGGCACATGGAAGCCTCCCTGGGTGGTCACAAAGACCTGGAAACTCAAAACCTGAAACATCACAATGAAGCGCTCATTTTCTTTGCCTTTACAGTCCTGTACATGTGACATGAGGGTTGTGAAAAATAGTAGCAACAGGTCAAGAAGAAGATTCAGAGGACTGAAAGAAGAGATGCAAAGAAAGGCTGAAAATCCATTCATTTATTCATTTACTGAGCCAAGCCCAATGTCAACGGAACTGAGATTAACCAGGTTAAGAGCTGACAGATAACGGAAAAGCAAAATGACAAAACTGAAAGCTGGGGGGAAGGTATAGCGCAGTGATAGAGTGCATTCTTCGCATGCGTGAGGTCCTGAGTTCAATCTCCAATACTTCCATTAAAAAAATAATGAAAATTAAAAAAATAATAAAAAAGCTAACTTGGTTCACTGTCATGAAGAATTGTTGAGTATTTATGGTGCTAGATTTCAGTCACTTGTTGGTTTAGGTGTAAATTTTCAAGTGTTGTTAGAAGACTCAGGGAAATACACAGGAGTCCAGGGAGTCAGACCTGGGCTCTGTGACTTAGTAGCTGTATTTTGGGTAATGTATTTAAGCTGCTGTGAGCTTCAGTTTCCACAAATCCGAACAAGGGAGAGAGAATATCTCCCTTGCAAGGCTGGTCCTGAGGATTAGTGGTTTTGTGGATACATGCTGGGACACAGTAGGTGTTCAATAAATTATACTTTGACATACTTGGATGTTACTTAGATAAGACTCTTTAACATGTTGATCACCCACTGTGGATCGAGTGCCCCTGAGGAAACAAAACTGTCACCTAGATATGGGTGACATGGCAATCAGCATGTTAATTTAAGATGTTTTGTTGTCAAACTATAAAATCAGTGTCGATGACAAACCCTGCTCCCCGCAAAACAGCTGTATATGTGAAAATTCCCTTTCCCCTAAATCACGGGCGTGTCAGCCCTTCCGTTTCCGTCCATCTCTGGCTGCTGAGGCCTCATGCCAGCCCTTGTCTCTGCCTCTCCTGTCCCTGGCCTGGAGGGGGAACCAAGGTGCTCTGCAGTCCATGTTTGCACTAGAGAAGTCATGGAGTGACGGGAGTCATCTCCTCCCCAGCGTCTTCAGGCACCAGCTCCATCCCGCTACCAACGGTGAGAGAAAGGGGTAAGGAGCCAGGCAGGTGAGAAATGATGCCGATGCCTTGTAAATGACTGGCTGTGGCCACCTCAGCAGTAAGAGGGAAAGAAAACCCATCAAAACAGAAGGACACTCCATGCTCCACACTGTAGATTCTCATCTCAAATCAAATGTCTGTTCTTTATTAACTGGTCCCAGAAACAGACATACACGTGGCTTTGCAGTTTTCAAACACGCCATTGTCACCCTTTTAACGAATGCACACTGGTTTCTAGGAGTCCCTCCACTAAACCGAGTCTGCCACAGAAGTTCAATTTGGGTAGCTTTTCCCTTAATCTGTCAATAATAGAGGAACTTCATCATATCACTATCAACTATTATATTAAAGGATCTGAAGCAGTAACTGAGGCATGGTTCTATATAATAATGATTTTTCAACCAAGCAAAATGCTCTATTGTTTGAAAATGCTTTCCACGTGATTCTGATAGGAGAGCTGAGAACCAGCCCCTCATAATCACTCTGAAAATCTAAACTTTCCTCAGTGCCTGACCCTCTTCAAGTGAATCATGCTTCACTCTTGCCTCATTTCTAAAATGACTGAGGTTACTTTTTACCCTTAGTTTGTACAATGTGTCTTTGGAAAATTTTGGAAAAGCTTATCCTCACAATTAAAAATACGGAATCACAAGTGGATAAACCAACTTTTAAAAAATACAGTACCTTTTAAATCCTGGGTAAAAAGCCTTTGTCTTCACTTGTATAGCCTCTTATTTCAAGAATGGACATCCCGAAAGACTGTTTCATTTTCTCCTCTCAATAAAAAATCCTTTTCCAATAACCTGAGTGAGAACTGTTGCGAACACAATAAACCCGGTCCCCTGGGCGCGTGCTGCCACCCCGGGCTCCCCTCGGAGTGAAACTGCTCACAGAACTAGTTTTTGCTGCACGTGGACCTGCTAATACGACCAAGTGGGCCAGGGTGGGCTCCTGACCTAAGAACAGCCAGTCCCTACACTGGTCAGTGCCCCTGATGAGACCTGGTGTAAAGAGACAAGCTGGCCCGGTTGGCTCCTGACAGTCAGAGCCTGGAGTCAGGAGCTGAGGGTCCTGATGCAGAGAAGAACCTGAGTGGTGCACACTACGAGGGAGCGGGTATTGAGGGTAAACAAAAGCTGTGAATGAGAGCATGTGGTGAGGAGACAGCGAGTGGAGCCCGCGATGCAACAAGAACTGAGTCGCGTGCAAGGCAGACCCCAAGCCTAGAGGCCCACCGCTTCCTGCCGCTGGACCCCTGGAGATGCCCCGGGTCCAGGATCACCATGTAGTTGCTGCTCGTCCTGAGGCCCAGGGGTTCGCTTTGGGAGGGAGAGAGGGGTGGTGAGGTGGTTCCTGAGTCCCCAGGCACGTGTCCGTAAAACGTCACACTGCTTGAGCTAACTCGTTACTTGACAGTCTTTTTATGTCTGTCCTCACTTGAGATTCCTTGCAGCTAAATAAGCCTAATGGGAACAACTGGTTACGCCATCACCATATAATTAATAATGAACAATACTCATTCATTTAAAATTTCTATTTCTCTGAACAAATCTGGGAATGTTTACTCCATTGAGTTTTAGAACGCAGATAAATTTAATGTTGGTACTGTATGTTTCCATATCAGCTGGTACAACTTACAGCACATTTCATACTCTCTCACCGTTGCAAAGACATCATATACACAAAGATGCAGATTCAAGCACCAGGAAATCATAAAACTTCTGATCTACGCTTCCAGGTTCGTCCGATCGTGGTACTTCCGATATGGATCGTCGGCGTACCAGTTCCGCCTCTTCCAGAAAGACGTCGTCATTTTATCTAAGAGCTTACTCTGGGTTTTATTGCAGAAGACAAATTCCCTCAAGCGTCTTTTTCTTGCAACCGTCTTTTTCCATAATTTTTTCTTATAACCAGCCTATTAGATAATATTACAAAGACAATTAAAACATTTTATTATGTAGGAAACAACAGATATCTCCACTACTCATGGCTTATAGGCCTTGTGGGAACAAAGACTGAACTTTCACAGGGGCTGGTATGTTTTTCAGAAAAAATGTGATTCTCAATAGAGGGTAGACAGAGAAAAAGCATGTGTAGTTTGAAAAAAATTAATAATTTAATATTTTTAAAAAGATTAAATTAAAACCAAGGAAATAAAGCTAAATAGATCAGTGTGGCTGGTGAAGTACAGGGAATGATAGGCAATTCTAACAGCCAACTGGCTGTGTGTTACCTTGTTATCCCTTCAACCATCTTCAACAATAACGTACTGAGATTCTTATTTTACAGATTAAAGAGAAACAACTGCTGATTAGAGAAGTTTAGTAGCAGACTGAGGTCAGAGAACCAGTAAGAGTCCTTAACCGCTGCGCTGCTGTCCTACCTGGAGGAGGACATGGGGAGTCCTGCAGTCGGTAGCATGTACGTCCCCTTACGGGAGCCCAAGTATTACAAGGGCTGAGAAGCAATGTGCTCACACACGTCACTCCATTTATTCTTTTCACACACGGGGGACCAATTTCTATAGTAAGTACTTTTCTAGGGAATAATGACTAAAGCAGAACTACCACTAGGAGTGGGGAAGGAATGGTTACCCCGTATGTTTAATCCACAAAGGCCATATATACCTTCTATGCGTCATTAATTCTGAAGAATTAATTTCTGAAGAAACAGATTATGACACCGAATATAAAAACTATAATCATAGCCTGTTTAAACTAGAAGAGACCGGGAGCGGGAGGGTATAGCTCAGAGGTAGAGTGCACACTTAGTACTGGGTTCAATCCCCAGTACCTTCATTAAAAATAAATAAATAAATAAATAAATAAATAGATAAATACGTAAAAATAAGATTTATTTTAAAAAAATTAAAAATAAACTAGAAAAGACCTTGGGCACCACCCAGGTTAATGCTTGGCTAAAACCACCCCTGATTCATAAGGGAGCTGAGATAGAATCCAAGCCATTGGTCAGAGCACTTGGATCCTTTCAAGCCAAGGGCTCTTGGGGGCATCGCACTAAGTGAACAAAACCACAGCTCTTCCCTGAGAAGGTGCCCTGGATTTCCAGCACGCCTTAGTGTCAGCGCTGTGACCAGCAAGCCCCTCTATAGTACAGTGACGCTTAGAAATAAAGAAGGGTTATTTAAGAGTTCTGGTTTTAAAATGCCAGAGATTAGATGGCCATTTCTCATTGCTTACAATTTTAAATTGAAAGAGTCAAACCCAAACCCTCATATTTGTGTAGTAATTTTCTAGTCTGCAAGCCAAACGGGGGCCCTGTAGATCTCGGCCGTACAGACAGCTGCTCTGCTCTGCTGTCCTGCCCATTACGGGTTCCGTGACGTGGAATGTAACCACTGTGAAAATGCCTGAAAGGTTTTAGACAATCCTAGGTCCAGAAATGGAAGGAGGGAATAAACAAAACAAATTAGGGACACCGACATGAAACTGTGCTGCAGAAAATACTTTGTTTTTATGCATTAGAATAAATTAGCCCACCCATATTTTTTATTTTCTTCTTAAAATCAGATTTTGGTGGAGCAGGCCATTCTGCATACAGAGTACTTTTTAAGACCTTGAGTGGGAACTAGGTATTACAACTGGAGAATTTGATCAGGTCATTTATAACAGCATGAGGGTTTCAGGGTCCAATAAAAAGGATGTGAAAAGGAAGGCAAGGAAAACCACTCGTTTCATTTTATCTACAGCCAGATGAGGTCCAGGAAATTATTTGTAGAACAAAGGGGAGGAAACGTTTCCGTGGTCCATAATTCACAACCATCAGCTACTTGTGGATTACATGAGCTTCTATTTAGTGCAGGAAACTAACCACCACAGTACTGTTCCAACAGAGAAATGAGCTGAGAGTTCTAATCAAACTATTTCTCTACAAATTGAGGATTGTTTATAAG